AAGACTTGGATACACAGGTGAACAAGAGGAAGCGAGACAGGTTTAAACCTTTAATGCCATAAATACAGAAAATATTTTAGAATCGCTAAATAGCTGTGAAAATGTTTATATATACCGTATACTACAACTAAAGAGTCGCACCAAATACTTTACACTTAAGATGAGAGGTTTACATCTGCCCAGTACTGGGTCTGACTGCCTGCAGTATGTTAGAGCACACAGAGCAGCAGGTGTGGAGTACTGATGCCTTTCTCCTTTCACTGCGAGGACACAAGAGTGTGTCGGTGCCGGAGAGATAAAGCCCTCTAAAGCACAGAGAGAGTGTGGAGAGTGGAAGGCAGCGGGCTGTGCTTATGGCCAACTCTCAGGAGCACACACCCCATGTGCACATGCACACAAAATCAACATCCATGCGTGCGCACACACTCCACTTTTTTTGCATTACTTGTTGCACTGCTTTAAGCAGTAAAAATAAAAAAGAAGAAAGAAAGAATGATAACTCCATGTTCCACTAGAGTGGCCACACCAGATGAGTTCTGCAGCACTTCTGAAGCTCTCTCTGAGAAAGGGGGAGTATTTACCACCCTGCTCCAAGTTCAATATTAGGAGAGCCAACATGGGGCACGTTCCCTCGCTGACTGCAGCGTGCGTGCACACACATGAACACACACACACCAAATGTCTCTCATCTCTATGAAGCAGAAAGGGCTTCTGCTGCCTATTTCTCCCCCTCCCTTTGAGTTCTTTCTTTTCTTAACTGGCTGCTTTTTTTCCACCTCATGTTGTTATCAGGCACTCCTGCTGGGCCAATTTAAACGCAGCTTCTTCTTTTAATTTTGATGATATCTGAGGCCATTATCTGCTCACTGCCTGACCGCTTGACCGCCTCACTGCCGGAAATATAGCCCCGTTGATCCCAAATCATCCATCTAGAACAAAAGGAGGATAATGAAGAAGCTGGCACAGAGCTGGTCTGAACTATTAAGAGCCAGGTTATGTGAATATTAGAGAGGAGCACTGAAGACAAGTAAGTGTTCTGGCCTCAACATCATCTGGGTCATTTTGTCCTGCCCTCAGGAGGGAACTTACACCAATACCTTGTCGCTTAAATGGTGTAATTGCCAGTTCAGTGTTATGAGGGTGGTGCTAAATGAATGTGGTTAAAAGAGACTTTTTCACTGTTGAGCCAAACTCAGTCAGAGGAGTGGGAATATATGGGCACCTGTCAGGAGGGGAGGGGAGGGCTGTGCCATCGCTACAGTGATGTCTGACAAAGTTCAGGTTCTAAATAAGCACTTTATTTGAAGTTAAAACCATGAAGCAGTGCACAGTGTAGGTCGGGAAAAGCCCTCACTGCTCAGCAAAACTAACCACACACAACTACCGTATGGACAGTGAGACAAAGTTGTGTCAGGAAGTTGGGCTGTAAACTGACAGATGTTTACAACAGACAGTTTATGTTTACTGTTCATTTTCAGTTCATTTTCTCTTTTAGGTGATCTGAGGGTTTATCACCTGTTTAATCATGTGAGTGCCCACACTTGCTGCTTCATTCAGTTTTATTTTAGCAAAGTCATGCACTCCCAAATCTCAAAAATTCACTTGTTGAGTACAGCAGCATACATAGTGACATGAACGACGGCCAAGACTGAAAATAAAACCCAGATTGAATGAAACCAGAATTTCCCATTAACAAGGTTATGGGGCGTGCAATTTCTAGTAAATGACCACAGAACATCAAAGCAAAATGATGTAGCAAAGTGCCCACTGTGGCCCCACAAGTGATAATTATAAGATAACGGCACATGCTGCATTGTACCTATGGCACAAATGGAGAAGGATATTAAAGTCAGCAAACTGATGGTCCACTTTAAAGCCTGCTAACATTAGCCACCATAAGATACTGGCCACATCAGACCAAGTAAGGCTGTAGCACTAAAATCCCTGAGTGTTTGAAGTGAGCACAGGTGCAATTTTTTTTAAGCACAAAAATGCTCACATTTTAGATGTGTCAGCATTCTCTAGGTGTCAGAGACCGGCTGGTTGATGCTCCCCTCCTGTTCACAAAAAGCACACCACAAGCCCCAGACTTATATTTCGTTCTAACAAAATGCTCCATATAACTCCAGTTCTTTAAAAAGAGGATAATCTGTGAGGAAAAAAAAACTTTGTTGCGGCTACACTTCTGAATGCCACATAAGACTTCCAAGTAGATTTGAATTGGACATGACAGTTTTTCAGAACGGCAGCCAATTCACTTACCCCAATGAAAACCCGCCATTCAAATCGGATGAGTAAAACGAGGCCTTGCACAAAAGCACCAATCCCGCTGCCCACACTTTTCTTAAAGTTAAAAGCTCTCTCTTTCCATCAGCTCTCTCTCCTCTTGCACCGTCTCCCACTTTTCTTCCTGTCTTTGCCTCCGTCTTGTTCCATCAGCACTGACAACTCCATAATAGCAGCCAGAGTGACCTGTCCAGACCCTGTGTACTGGCTGAATTTATTGGACACAGAAAGAGAATGAGAACCTGTCACTTGGCTTCCACTGACCTACTAACACCCTCTCTGTTTCACACACACAGCCTGGCAGACGGGCCAGTATACCGCCCTATCATATACCACAGTATACAACCATACAGAACCTCGTCAACATTGGATGAATGAAATGCCCAGTGGTCGCTGGTTACAAGTAATATTATAAATTACAAATAGTATGATTCTATTTCCTCAATGGTCGTTATTTTTTAACAGTTTTGCATCAAATATATTACAAATCACAGTGTAAGGGAACAGCTTTGTCAAGATTAAACAGGTGCAAAATAACAGAGATGACAGGGTGGTTAACAAGCCTCACTGCATTTTCTCCTTGGCTTTACTAATTATTTAAACACAGTTGTGCTGTGTGTTTCTTCACTGTTTACCTTCTGACACACAGCATTACATACAAGGCTGCACTGATTGCAGATTGAATTTGTTAAACTGAACTTTTTTAAACAGACTAAAACATCCAAAGCACGCCTGTCTCCGAGTTGAGCTTGATTTATGGCTCTGCGTTGAATCTATGCCGCAAGTACGACATAGGTAATGGGTAGCCTCACAGCACATGCTGCAGCCTGACGCGTACCTCTCCAGAAATGTAACTTACATGTCATGGCAAAGCAGATAACAACAACTGAGATTGGCTGCAACACATTTTCTCGTTCATGTCTCTCAGGGGGCGGACAAGGATGGAAAATCCCCCTCGCTCTTCCTCAGTTGGTCCAGTGGTCGTACAGACCGGACGTCTTCCCTCTTATCAATAATTATGCAATAATTTCAGTAAAAGCTATTGCTCTTAGTTTTAACTCCGACATGACCAGCTCAGTTTCAGTTGCCTCTGTTAGTAAGTAACAAAGAAGGCCAACACAGTGGCATAGAAACCTCTACTGCCAACCAGTATTTTTGGCAGCGTAATTGCAGAGCAACATGGACACAACAGGCACAAGTATAAATGCTCACAACAACGTAGGCCACTTGCATAGATTCAACGCAGAACCATAAATCAAGATTTATACTCCTGAGAGCTCTGTGTTCTTTGAGAAGAAGGCAGATTCAATGATCACAAGAAAATATTTGATATAAAAATGACCTTATCATTAGCATGAGTTATACTGGTCTCTTAAAAAAAAAATCAGCTTTTGACTCCATGTTGCTGACGAGAGAGGAAGTATGTGTTCTGGTGAGCCTGTAGTTACGGTATTTATCAACATTTTTTATATTTTACTCACAGTTTTGCTACTGCTGTTATCAGTGGTAATTATAGTGCTTCAGATGTCCTTAACCCTCTATGAGCCACCGTTACAGCACACTGCCTTCTCTTTTGGATTTAATCCACTCCTGTATTCTGTTCACAGATTCACTCACTTGCTCCTGCGTCGCAGTCTTCCTCTAAATGTTTCATAGCTCATTCCTCTTTCAGCATGACTCCCTCCCTTCCTCTCCATAGGCTTCTTCCCTCTCATCTCCATTGTATCCTCTGTTGCTCCTGTCCTCCATCTCTTTATTTTCTCTCTGCCTGTGGTGAGCAGTCACCAAGCTTGTTATTAGTGCCAGGTCCAAGCCAGCACTGTAATCAGACCTCTGGAATTAGCAGCAGGTCCACACTGGCAGGCAGGCACGGTGCTGACAAAACACTGTAGTTATTATTAAGGTTGCTGGAAAGTTTTGTAGCTTTGGCAGGAACCTGCTTCTCCCTTCAGTGCCCTGGATCGTGATGGGCTTTGCTAAAGAGAAGAAGGATAGGAACACACCAATGACTAAAGGATCAAATGCACACCGGGTGGCTACCAATAGGAATAGTGAGGGGCACACTTTGTTATTTTGAGAGGATGCAGGTACAGGCTGAAGACTAGGAGTGTGGCCATATTGGAAAATCAATAGATTTGACATAATGAGGATGTGTCTTTTTATTGTGGGCTAGAGACACAGCAAGGCGAAGTCTGTTGTATCAGGGCAGGATGTGACAGAATTCCAGTTACTTGACAAAAACTAGAATTACCGCTTTGCTGCAAGTCTTCCAATAATGACATTAGTCCGTTTTTTTTTTTTTTTTTTACTTTTTGTAATATCAGTACAGTACAGCCGATGAACAGTCAGATCTGTTCAGTGTCTGTTGCCTTCAAATTGTGAAAACATCTTTTTAACCAGAAGCCTACAGAGTATTTAAATGTCAAACTTGAAATGGCCTTACCACCTTCACAAGTCTCATATTCACACACTCCTACTGAAACATTTTGAAACAAGAAGAGGCAGAAAAGGCAAGTCACTCTACAAGAGTCAGGGGATTTCTGAAAATGGGATACTTGATACTTTGCATTGAAAGCACATGAAGTTATCTCAAATCATTTTCCATTTGTTTAAAACACTGTCATACTGATAATGACATCGGGCAAGCTGTAAAAATGGATCTTTTCTGCCAGTGCCCCTAAGAGGGGTGTGTTGGTTGATGTGATGGTACTTACAGCACGGTCCTTTGCGTAGCACCTTGATGCGTCGCTGTGTGTTGCACTGGGCTTTCTCCAACTCACACTCGTTAGAGTACGTGGACGAATCTGAGCCGCAAACAGGTGCGACCAAAGACGGACACTCCACTCTCTTGCAAACACACTCAGCCTTGGCCGGGTCAGTCGGGTCACGCTCACACATGGCACCAAAACCACATAGCATTCCTCTGCAGCCTGCAAGACAGGAAAAGAAAGAAGAAGGGGTCTTAGGACTGCGATGTTTAACATATGATCTAGACAATGGTTTTATAACTATTTCAAGTCCAATTAGCTCAAAGCTGTCTGATCACCATTCAGTTAAACACCTTAAGGTGTGTGATCTGAACGGGTCATGCATGCACAAACTCTAAGTTGTTTTGTCTTTCATTACGTCTTAGAGAATTTTTTTTATAAGTGAATGCAAAGAAAGTTTGTTTTAACACCAGAAAGGCACATCTGAACAAATTCATCTCAAAATGTGTCAGCTGGTGGGTTCTTTATGAACTCTACACAGTTCAGGAATGCAAATGCATCAGGAATTAAATGTGATCTTAGTATAAAGCATACAGATGCTCTCAATTAATTTAGGAAGAATCAGTCCATCCATGCAGAGCAAGCATAGTGTGCTGTTGGGTGCTGAGCCTTTTGCAAAATTTGGAAAAGCATCAGTATTCAAAAGTCAGTAACAACATTAAAACTAATCAAAGAGCAGCTGGCTGATACACACAGTCTGGTGGACAGCTCTTTTTCATTCCCTGAAAAGACGGCGGCCTTTAAAACATTAGTGATACGCCATCCAGAAAAACATGGAGGGACAAAGAGAGACCCAGGGTAGCCACACACTTCAAGACTTCACAAGTCAAGCAACAACTCTTAAGACTTTGATCCTAAGCTTTCCACTGACTCCGCAGCTTTGTGCAAAACAGCAAACTGTAAACTTGTCAGATGCAGCTGAACACACAAAGCAAAAAGGGAGTGTATGTGTATGTGCTGTGTATACACAACATCAGCTTAGAGAATAATTGACCCATGTAGTGGCAACTACAGCTGCTGTGGCTCTGTGCCTGCTTTGGGGGCTGTTGGGCATCCAGCTGGCGTCACGCCCTTGCCTCAGCACCAGGGGTATTAAAAGACATGGCAAACTCTCACAGGTGCTCAACCTGATTTGAAATCAAGGAACAACAGCACATAAAAGTCCACTCTTAAAAAATCATCTTGGGTGGAGGGGTGAACAACCAGTGTCACTGCTGAGGATATATATGTCTCACACTCATGCACACATGCATGCACAAGCACAACTATTTCTTATCAGTGGCTCCCATGTCAGGACTAAACGCAAGGCTGGGTGTCCACTCGCTGGCAGGTGGCTTTTGCTATACTGGATAGGCCCACAGACAGTCTGAAAGACACATACACAAACTCTTGCGTACATAGACAACTGGTCCAGCATCTGCCCAAGGCATCTCATTCTGTTTCTCTCCTCACATGGAAGCACACTGTGTGAATGTGAGTGTGTGTGTGTGTAGAGTGACAGGCAAGGAGGCTGTTTTTGACTTGCCCACTGTTCCCTGTGGGAGCACGTCTGACAGCTACCTGAGCTCACTCTCTTTTGTACCAGGGGAAAAAGAAGTGTGAGTGTGTGTGTGTATGTGTACGCGAGGCGACCCACGACTGCATCTGTATTCCTGACTGCATGCGTGTGTCTGAGAGGTGTAGGCATTATGTGTCTCACACATACACACACACACAAGCATGACCATGTGCTTGTCACCACTGGCCCACTGCTTTGCCATTACTTCACACCGGGAGCTGTGTGTGTATGTGTGTGCCCACATGTGAGTGTCAGCGTGGCTCATATCAGCGTGGCTCAGAGGCGAAGCCAAGCGAGCAGAGTGACAAGAGGTGAAATTCAATCGAACTGTGTCAGATGTGTACAAGCAGGAGGGAGGGTGTCTGATAGTATGAGAGGAGAACACACAAAAGTCTGAGGTTGCAGGTAACCCAACAATTTCTATATGTTTTAAATGTATCGGTTCTCTTTTTAGCAATATAGGCAACACCTGTGTACTTCAGTATAGTCATCAAGCAAACATGTTAAATGCATACCTCATTAAAAAACAGACTGCAAACACCTACAGTGAACTCACAACCTGGAAAGAAGAAAAAAAAAATCACTAATGCCTGCGGTGGTTTGTAACCAAATCTCTTCTGCGATGTTTTCCTATAAGACAATCTCACTCTAGCCTCGAGCTTAGCTGACTGACAAAGGACTGACATCGGAGCTGAGGGCTCTGTCAAAGTGAAGGTATCAAATACAGGCTCTGGACTGAATGTACATACTTATATACAGTACAAGGGGTTCTTTCCTGGGAAAAATCCTCCTGGTACATGAGAAAAACTATGTTTCATACTTATTTAAAATGAGAATATGACCTTGGTAGTTAATAAGAATGGCGTAGTCTACCATGACTGAAAACAAAAATATGCAACCAACAAAATTAATTCCAACAATAAATTCCAACATTGCTGGCTCAAACCCAGTCTGACTGACAGGCAACCACTGGGATTACTAAACCATAAAACCAGTGGTTCACGTGGACATGTCCAGGAGTGCACCTCACACTGTCCGTGTGTTTACTTGCGTGTTGGAAGCCCTGGTTGTACAAATAGCGCACAGAGGAGCCTACAGAAACACCATGAAATGCATGTATATGTACAGTGTATCCAACCTCTGGTAAAACACAGCAAAACCAAACTACACACACTTTAAAATAAACTGCATCGGCAGGTCAAACTTGGAATTGGCCAAGAAAATTGTAATGTCTAAGCATTCAAGTCGCTTTGTTCTGAGCTAGGTACATTAGTACGAGTCCACTTTCTCTATCCATAACCCTAAGCAGTAAAAAAAAATATGGAACAGTGCTGAATACGAAACACAATGTTTCACACTGCAATCAAACACCAGTCTACTCTGGGAAATCCTTGTTTCTTCTGACCCATCCATCCAGGTCAGTATCCTCCTAACGTGGACTTTGTAATACTATATACTACGTCACCTAAATTCCTTTGCTTGTGTCATAATTTGTCCAGTCACTAGAGGTCGCCTAACCATATAATATGAACGTTAACTGTTGGTCGTTATAACCTGCTGGAACAAACTGGCACGTGGACTTGTTTTCTTTTACAGGACAGTCTTAATGTTATAGTAGAATACTAAAACAGTTTGCAGACAACAAATGTGTTTATAAGGAATATACTGTTCCACTGGGACTAATAGGCAGGACCTTTAGAGATTCTTTTCTCTCAATACGCAGGTAACAAAGTCTGCTCTGTTGGTGTATTCAAGCAAGAAAGTAGCTTCCAGCTGAGCTAAAATAATGACAGGGGAGATTTAAAAAAAAGAAGAAGCATTTTTTAATGTGGAGTGGCTGCACTGCACTGCACTGTTCTTCTGCTGTGTATATTGCTGAGAGCTGTTGTACGATATCTCCAGAAGGATGACAGTTGTCTTGATATTGTAAAACCAATGTGCTTTTGTATCAAAACATTTTCAGAGTGAAAGCTTTGCACTTCTTTGTGAAAACATCTTTTTCAGTACAATGACTGGGTATATGTATGTGTGCATGCTTGTCAGTGCATGCAACTGGGTAAGGTAATAATCTTTCAGCCCTGCAGTGTTAAAAACTTCACTTCTACGCAGCTTTTTTTTTTTCTGTTGGAGGCTGAGGAAGAAAATCCCATTGGGGAGAAACGATAGCATGTCCAGTTTGCACTTGTCAAGGCAAACCTCTTGTCCAGGTATCACTTCATCCCCAGATTGAAGACTCACCCATTAAATATGACACGGTGTCGAAGCCTTAAGGATGCTCTCAGTGCATCGTTGGATTATGAAAGGAACGGAACAGCGTGGTTGTGATTAAAGCCATGGTGAAAAAAAATGCCAGGCTTTACGACTTGAAAGAAAGTCTGGAATAGTTCTCTGGTGGCAATTTTCCACACATTCATTTGTCAGGCCTGATCAGGATTCAGCTTTGGTGTTAGGTGATACACATTTCAGTTAATTTCTCCGGTGGATTACAGCACATGCTACTGTGTAAAAGAAGAGATTCTTTTTTGCCAATTTCACAACAACGCAGACCATGTTATCTTGACATATTTAGGACAGTGCAGCTATATACTTCCAAATTCAATCCTAGTTTTAAAATAGAATTCCAACCATGTTGAATGAAAGATGCATATTTCATCATGTGACATATTATCTGTGCAACTTTGTGTGCCAGTTTCTTTTTTTGGACATAGATTCAGACAGACATAGATTCAATAAATATGCCCCAAAAGCACTAGTTCCTATTACTTTGAGATTGCTTCTACTCTGTGAACAAAATGTCCCCACAGCCTGTTTGTGGTGAAATGCTCTATCAGTTTCATTGTTTTGCTGCCTTGTTGCATTTACTTCAAACAAAGTGAAAAGGGGAGAAATGGACTGTCATGGCAAGCACGAACGCGTTCAGACCCAATAAGGCAGAGTCGCCCTGACAAACTCAAAATCGCTACTTTAGGGAA